AATTCTGAGAAAAAAAGTCAGAATTGCGAGTTTGTATCACGCAATTCTGAGAAAAAAAGTCAGAATTGCGAGTTTGTATCACGCAATTCTGAGAAAAAAAGTCAGAATTGCGAGTTTGTATCACGCAATTCTGAGAAAAAAAGTCAGAATTGCGAGTTTATATCACGCAATTCTGAGAAAAAAAGTCAGAATTGTGAGATTGATAGAAAGTCGCAATTACCTCTTTTATTTTTTATTCAGTGGTGGAAACGGGCTTCCATACAAGGGTCACACCTGCCTGGAGATGGGAAAACATTCTCTGTATGCTCAGGATAGTCTTGTTTCTCTGCGAGGAACAGTTTCACTGAATTCAAAAGTTCTGAATTCTAAAGTTCAAAAAATGACGAAGCACATTACCTCTTGCAAGCCATCTCACAGTACAGTCAATTAAGCAGATCAGATGGAAGATGTCGGTCAAGTCCATTAATGAGTGCATTTACATCTACGTTCTTAAATCGATGCTTAATAAACCGACAACTCACACACACACACACACACACACACACTGATCACGTGACTCCTGCTCTTTGTCAGGTCATGTAAACGCGGTAACCCATTTTCTTTTATCGAAGTAAGGTCATAAGCGGCGTTAAGATAAACTGGTCGACACAGGTAGTTTTTACCCTGATTTTGCGCAGCATGTACTGTAAACGCATTAATCTGCTTTCTGTCAGCCTATTGAAGTGTGCATGTGTGATATGTGACAGGAACGCATTCCTAGTGCAGATTTAAGCGCTTACAGAGTGAGCGTTTTGCAGTAAAGAGAAGCAGAAGGGATGTTGTTCCAACTCCATAAGACCTTCGTTCATCTTCGGAACACAAATGTAAATATTTTTGATTAATATTATTTTTGATGAAATAAGGGTTGAACCACTGATGTCACATGGACCATTTTAACGATGTCCTTACTACGTTCCTGTGCCTTGACCGTGGTAGGACCCTTGCTGTCTATGGGAGGGTCAGAGAGCTCTCGGATTTCATCAAAAATATCTTAATTTGAGTTCCGAAGATGAACGAATGTCTTACAGGTTTGGAATGACATGGGGGTGAGTAATTAATCAGAATTTTTCATTTAACAAGCCTGAAACCAAAATTTAAAAACGCAAGTAAAATTATATTGCACAAAATTTAAAAATGAAAGCAAAGTTTTCAGAATAGCAAACAATGGTCACGGATCAAAAAATAATAAGTGTAAATAAAAAATTTAATAACGCATAAAAAATAATAATAAGCACGAATCAAAACTTTAAACACATTTAAAATCATAATGCAAAACACTGAAATATTAATGCAGAATTATCCGAATTGCACACAAAATCATGTTTTCCTTGGTTATGTTTCTCTGTTTCAGTGTTCTGTTCACTTGTACAGGTGAAAATGGACAACTGTCGGCTGGGAAACATCTTTGCATAGAGGGCACCATTATATGTGTCTGTCTGTCACTGCTGTATGCCTGCCTGGCGATCCGTTGACATCAATTGAGCCGTCCTAGCGACCTGTCGCGGTTAAATTCACCTGTATTTATTCGCCTCCGGTCACATCGCGAAAGGGATCAGCCACTAAATGCACCGGCCTTGTTTCTCATTCTGTGTGACAAGTATAACGTTAGACAGTATCGCTGAGTTTTTCTAAATTTCAGGAAGAGGTTTACAGAGACGGCAAGTGCATTTTGTATGTTTTCTTTATTTTACAAAAGTACAACGTTTCAATGTTAGTTTGAAGGTACACAGATAAAAAAAAATAGATCGTTTTGAATGATGTCTTGCTTCTATCTGACGGATATCACATCTTTCCGCTGATGTGAGTAAGGTGTGTCGCACCGGCGCCTCCAGCGCGCACACAACATAATCAGTTCTAGCATTGCAAACTTTACATCGCAGCCTCTTCATCATCAAAGTAAATGAGACAACTAAACATACAAAATGTATTGGTGACTCAATTTAGCTTGTCTTTTGTACAATATGTAGTTTTTGCTGGTCAGCGCGAGCATCGATCGCCATGCCGTGGTGTTTTCCAAACACATTTATTGCATATGTGAAGGATGTTAAGTAGATATTCAGATACGAGAGAAGTACAAAGCCTTCTTTACAAAATAAATAGGCTAATAGTTTTTCAACCATATGTTACACCGCGTCTAACGATTCACGCATGGAAATGAGAGGTATGTGAGCCCAGCAGGTTCAGTTTTTAGTTTCGTTTTAAATAATAATTTATGCATTTAGCAGACGCTTCTATCCAAAGCGACTTACTGTGCATTCAGGCTATACATTTTTTACCAGTATGTGTGTTCCCTGGTAATTGAACTCACGACCTAGACAACTAAACATACAAAATGTATTGGTGACTCAATTTAGCTTGTCTTTTGTACAATATGTAGTTTTTGCTGGTCAGCGCGAGCATCGATCGCCATGCCGTGGTGTTTTCCAAACACATTTATTGCATATGTGAAGGATGTTAAGTAGATATTCAGATACGAGAGAAGTACAAAGCCTTCTTTACAAAATAAATAGGCTAATAGTTTTTCAACCATATGTTACACCGCGTCTAACGATTCACGCATGGAAATGAGAGGTATGTGAGCCCAGCAGGTTCAGTTTTTAGTTTCGTTTTAAATAATAATTTATGCATTTAGCAGACGCTTCTATCCAAAGCGACTTACTGTGCATTCAGGCTATACATTTTTTACCAGTATGTGTGTTCCCTGGTAATTGAACTCACGACCTTTTGCGCTGCTAACGCAATGCTCTACAACTGAGCCACAGGAACAGAATGAAGCAAAATGAGTTTATAGGCTTAGCATTTAAAATAAATGTTGTTTGTAAAGAATGGCACTATAATTTATTTTATGACATACAGTTAAGCAAAACACGAGGAAGAGTGTTTTTCCTAATATCAGGACCATTGCAAATGTTTATTGAACGGAATCAATGTAACAAGAAGTATATTTTGAGTGAGTTTACTATTAATAGTAACTATT